TTGGAGGTGGTTGGGAAAAGGGCGGGACGTACAGACTAAAGAGATTAACTAGAACGAAAAAGTCTGCAATTTTTGTAGTAGCACTAATTATCTTTTTTCAAATCTCATCTTTATGGACTACTTTCCATTAAAATACACAATATACTTAAAAACTGCAGGGTAGCAGCTGATAACACGAATATATTAATAACAAAATAGTTTTGGACTGTTATACGGATTGCATAATAAATAACGCGTAAATACTGATAAGTTTCAAAATAATAAGATTGCAACTTCTTTCGTTCACCTGTTTACTGAATGGTGAATCAATTACGATGAGTAATATTTTATCTATAAACAAATGAGATATTCTTCGTATTACAAAAAGTATATGTTCTCACAAATTAACGACAAAGTATAAAAATAAATTTCATTACCACTGTAACATAAATTAGAAGTTTTACTTCAGTTTATATTGCTTATTGACATACTCTCTGAACATTAAGTTTTGTTATAAATATTTTAAAAGAGAAGGCGAAAGATATTTAACATTCATATAGTCTCATGGGCCCGAAACATAAGTTTACATTTAAAATCAACATAACGTATTTTGAACAATTATCTGTTTTAAACAAATCTAAATAATAGAATAGATACATCTGATCGATTTAAAAAATATAATATGAATAATTTAAAAATTTGATTTTAATCATTTTTATAGTTCTCAGTCCATACCCATTTTGACCATTCACGAGACGTATAGTTTTATGAACGGGTGATTATTTTTCTTTGTTTTTAGGGCTTTTTAAAAGCATTTCATTGATCATTTTTGGCAATGTTGTAGGTCATCAAAATCCGTTTCCTAGTTATCACCGTCTATCTGTCAAGCTGCTGCCAGACCCCATCGTCTCCGCCATCATCATTTTCATCACCACCGCCTTCTCCTCTGCCTCCGCATCTGCGATGCCCACGAAATACACTGAGCCCTTCCCTTCACTTCCGTTAGGGTCTTTGCCATTGGTATCATCACCGCGAAACGTTGGACAGTAGTTATCTTTATTGTCACTTTATTTGTTTTCCTGGTTCATAACTTACTAAAACTTCAACTTCCAGAGTTTCCATTTTCATTATTACGTCTATTTTCAACAAATTCTATCTCGTATCGTGATTAATTTGCAATACCAATGATTGACGCCACGAGCGCTCCTATCACCGATTCGGTGGGCCTGGTGACAGCTCTACGACCAGAACGCAAGCTATGTGGTTGAAACCAATAGAAAAATATTTACACCTACAATGTCGTTTGGGCGTTTCTGAAAATGCGCAATTTTACTTATTTTCGCAGAAAACTTTTGAGATTTTGAGAAACTTTATAAAAAATAATGAAATATCTCTCCTACCATTCCGATGCCAACGAGCGAAACACGTTACATAAGAACAGGTGCAAGTTCACGATGTGCATTTGTGCATTCCATTTCTTTCTCTTTTTGAATCCGTTCTTTTAAACGTGGCCAGAATTTATTTCTGGAATTGGTCCCCTTGTGAGATATTGTTTATATTTTACACACAATTCCAGTTGTCAACTATATGCCGCTGTTAATTTTTTAATTAATATGTTTTTTATTTATGCATGTACTCTGTGTCTTCAGGCAACAGCCATGCTATGGAGGCTCAGCCTCACGGCCATGGGGTTGGGAGACATGTGGTAAATTGGTTGTATTGCCATTGATTGTCATTCTCTGCCTGCGAAAAGTATTCACATAATCAGCTAACTATATGCACTGGGATACGACAGTGAAATGCGACAATTTAATTATGTTTGCCTTATCAGGGAATCGAACCCTAGCCATAAGCCAACGGAGCTTTATTTATTTAATTTGCGTATCTCTATTAGACAAACTCTTGACGCCAAATCCAATGATTATGTCTTAGCCATTAAAAGTTGAAAATCAACTCAATAAAAGTATTCGTAAAGGCGTCACCAACTATAATTATTATTCGACATTTACGTTCATTTTCAATTAGTAGAGACTTATAAATTTGCATTTCGGCAACGTCTTGTAGTGGATATTGAGAATTGAACATGTGCAGTTTTAATTGAAATTGAAAATTCGTAGTAGTACAATTATTAAATTTCATATGTATTGCAAATGAATTTGCATTTAATTTCAGAAAAGATCTTTTTTCAAATATTTACTTTCTAATACTTGAAATACCATTACATTTGTACTGTTTTATGACTCAATAATTCTTAACTAAATTTAAACCAAAACCATTTTTAAATGAAGAATTATTATACTCATGTGTGTCATACTTAATTTGTATTAGAAATTTACTTCGAAATGCAGAATTACTGAATTATCCCGAAAAGAAAGAAGTCACTCGTAACCAGTTCATCTAGTTGACTTAAGACAGTTAACATAAATGCCTAACAGAGAGCTCGTGACTTCTCTTAGCCCCTTCTCCGCTAACAAGCGAAACCACTAACCGCGAAGATGGGTCTTGAGTTGGCCTCATCATCAGTTTGTTGAACTAGGTAATTACTTTTCCGAACAAAGGAAGCGCCTTAGGAAAATCCAAGTTGTACAAAATGATGGAGATACTGCGTCAGAAAATCGTGACATCGCGATTTGAAGGCTGAGTTTGTTGAAACAACATTGAAAAAACAACTGACATCATATTCTTTAATAATACTTTTGTGACGATAAATCGATTTAGACAAAAGTGTTAGGTAAACAAAAGTTTTGGACAATTTAAAATTTAAAAAAAAATTATAAATGCCATATAGTGATATCAGTGAAGTTGCACCACCCCTGGTTACCGTACATTTGTTTTGACCCCTTCACTGAAAGTGGATTTATTTATCGTACGTTTACACGGCCATTCACATTCACTAGAGACAGTGCTCCATCGTTAGCGCTTGGAGTTGTATACCTTCACTAACTCGAGGTAGGGAGTGCTAACAAAGATGCTGCAATAAATAATCTTGACTGTGGTTGTTTCACATAGATTGTAGTAAGAGTGGTAAAGTACGTGCAGGGGTATAGGAGTTCAATAATACCTGCAATATGTTTTCTCACTTCCAAAACAATACTTTAGTTTATTTTCACATTAGGACGTCTGGGCACTGTTTGCACGTCCATTGTAACATCTTCATTAAAAGGATATTGCCTTGAAAATCAATTTCAACTTTCAAACAAATCTATGAGCTTTTGTCGTTTTAAAACTACAACTTCTTCTGAGGGTACCACAGAAAAGCAAACTAATAATGCTATTCGAAATGGAATTCAAACACAGATGATCAAAACTGTCCAATCAATACCATGCTGTTTCATACATTTGGAAATTTTGTTTCCAGATGGCAGTCGTTGTAGCACCTTTCCTTTCTATCTCCACTTGTTGAACAATATTTATTTCTGACCACTAAGCTGCCTCTGAAAAATGGATTTAGCATGTCGTATATTCAGTTCTCATAGACAATTCTCGTTTCCCAGTTGAAATAGTGCAACACGAGCGATGCCCAAACTTGGCCAGCCAGAATATCTCACCTGGGAATGGCATTAGCATAAGTTCGACGTTCCTCTCCCGACTTCCTGCTCGTTTCCGCCTTCGGAGAGCGCGCCTGCTCGTGACTGTCGCCAGGCCGAGCCCGCCATTACACTCAGGCTGGTTTTGGTGCTGCATAAAACATCGGCGGAGACGGCGGGTACACGGGAGACGGGGGCTGGAAACAGGGGCAAGATGAAAGGTAGCCGTGGAGAAATCGGTGTTCGACAATTAAGGGCATGGAAGGTCATTAACCGACGATCGTTCAAAAATCAACCAATGTGAGTTGACGAAAAAGAAATTATATTAATAAAATACACAAGTGCGTTGTATTAACTGGACTCAGATTAGTTACACTTGATCGGTTTTTAGCAATGGAACCCAAGCCATGTATGGTATTCTACATGCAATATGATGCGAGATAAAGAAGAAAAAATGCAACAGCGACAAAGAAAGATAATTCTGCAAGAAATGGAACTGTAAAATGAAATCAATGGAGAGGTTATTTTCGTAGTGTTAAAGAAATCCCTTACCTACTGTCAGAGAGAAGACTGATAGGACTGAAATAGAAAATAGAAAGCGCATGGAAAAGAGATGAAGAAGAATGGGAATAATTGTATAACAATAGCAGCAGCTGAAAAGAACAGGTGAATGACACCGACGATACGGAAATGGAAAGGTGAATGCTAATATTTTTTTCGACGCATTGGTGATGATAATGACAGATATTCTAAAAAGATAAAATGGAGGCGTTATTCGGTAGATCGTTTCGTCGTTAGAGAAAAGGAGCACAGAAAAATCCCATTAAAAGAATAGAAAGCTCAGTTTACGGGGAGGATAAAATTACAAGATGAAGAAAGTTCTAAAAAATACTGGAGGCTGTCGTTCGACTAAGATTTCCTTTTTTTATTCTTCGGTACTTCAGATCCCCGGTGATGAATTTTAGTGTAAGCAATGTGAGTGAATATTATTCCAAGAATCGAACGGGAGTAGCAGCGCGTTAATGACAGAAGTTGCGGAGGAGGCGAGGTGATGTCACGAAGGGGTCAAGCTGAAGACGTCACAGGCGGCGGATGCTGAGGTGGAGGTGGAGGGAAAGGCGGCAACAGGCGGGGGCGGAGGTGGCGAAGGTGGAGGCAGCAGGTGGCAAAGTTCGGGGAAGCGACGACGACGGCGGCGGTGGAACTGCGACGAGCCGACGGAGAGGAGGAGGCGAAGGCGGAGGCGGAGGCAGAAGCGGAGGAGGCAAAGTCGAAATCGTGCTGCCACATTGCGACACGTGTGCGGCACGCGTCGCGCCTATTCGAATCCATTTCCGTATCTTCGTTCCTTGGTGCCGTGACCGAAGAACCACTTCGACTTTGCCTGTACCTGATTCGTACTTTGATGTTGTTGTCATCCAATAAATCTCTATTGACGCCGAACGTTGGCAGTGAATGGGATTTTAACTGCGATTTTCTTCTCTGATACTCGTAATCCCTAGTCGTAAAACGCCCCCCAAAGTATTGTATTTTGCATAATATAAAGCAATGGCAAATCATATTATTACTAAGGACCAAAACTCTCGACAAGTTTACTTTTACTTAATACTTGCACATTCGGTATTATTCTTTCATTACCAAGACTCCATTACAATGCTGCAAAAATAACTGCCTCTCGACAGCATATAGATGCGAGTATTTTATAAACATGCAACATTAAATTTATCCCGCGGTGTACTATTTCAATTATGTTTGTAAATATAGAAGATTACACAAAACTACAAAATATATCGAAAATAATATGCTGATAACATAATTTCATAACAATAGCAGAATAACATAAATAAAAAATAATGTAAGCATTACAGTAAAAATCACACCTCTTGAAACTCTGGCAATCATCTTCCCTCGTGCCGGAAAAAATTAAAAACCTTGATAATACCGAGGAAAACTGATGCTATCTCGTATCGCTGCCGGTAGTCAGCCCAGTCGAGGCGAATCACCATTTCAAATCGGCGCTCCCTACACGGAAGAAACCTGCGTCCTGGCCTGGAAGCAACGCGCCAGCAGCTTTCCTAAGCGGGCGTGGGTGCAGAGGAAGATTAAATCGTAAGAGGACTAAGAACGTAAACGCGTTGTTAAGCAGGGGCAAAATGGGTGGGCGGGGCAAGTGACATTTCTCTAGAAGCAGGCAAACTCTTTGAACAAAAATAATAACGATTTAGATACTTAACGGAGCAATCTCATATCATGAGAGACGCTTTGTAACTGCGAACAAACCTAATTATCCGGAACGTTCGTGAAGCAGGAAATTTTTACTCGTATTAAGGAAGGCTTATGTCAACTGCCCTCAAGTTTCTGTTTCTGTTGTTTTTATAATTAAAATTTACCTTATCGCAATCGCGGCCCAAAAAGTATCTGTC